TCCTACAAGCCACAACCGTCAACCATCATGTTGATCACCCCCGAGCAGCTCATCCTCGTACTCCTCATCCTTATCTGCAGTCGCGTCCTGGTACTACTGATACTCTGCCACCAAGTCATTCATATTACTCTCAGCCTCCGCGAACTCCATCTCGTCCATACCTTCAAGGGCCGAGCATGGGACTCGGAGAATTCCGAACCGTTTCGAAAATCGAACCAAAATCACTCCGAACCGATAAATAACTGTTGACTATTTGACTTTCTCGAACCGAACGGTACCGACAAAATAATTGGTATGATTCTGGAGATTTCACAAATATCCGTACCGAGAACCGAATCGAACCGTCTCATACCGTACCGAACCGAATTATAAAAATAGATGTGTGTTTTTAATATATTTTATGTCAACTTTGATTCTACACTAGTTTTATCCCGTGCATTTCCACGAAAAGCAATAAAATAGAAGAGAAAGTAATTAAATATATAGAGTAATATTATTGATCTCCCCATTTAGCTCCAATTTATCAATAACCTCCATATGATTAATAAATATTAATCTAATTGATCGATTTATCTCCCTACGTTTAAGATATAACGTCCGTCGATTAATTTAATTACTGACAATAAAATTAAATCTACTGCTTTCATTTCCAAAACTAGTACCACTCAGTTCACTAATCATTATGCCGGATAATTATTCACCTGCAGGGTTTGACATAATATTCCTTCATAAGCTCATTTCGGGGACGTCATCAACCCAGTGCACTGGGACATAGTGACTGTAAATAATTTATAACCGCACATCATATAAATACTCTTAATTACCACAATACCAAGTATGTCATCCTAACAGAATAGGAATTACTCTTGGTAAATCAAATAAACAAGTAATGAATATATATATATATATATATATATATATATATATATATAGGTTGGTTCAAATAAAAACTAGTCCTGGTGTGAGAACCGTGAGAACCATATTTGGTGCTATTTTTAATTGTGTATGATACTATTTTTAATCTCACATGGTGCTATCATTTTTACAAATGCTAACATAAATTGTGTTGTTATTTTTAAAAAAATATATCCTGATTAAAAAATAACTAAAATACAATCAATCATAGCACTACGTACAATTTAAAATAGCAGTTTTCACGGTTCTCACGCTAGGACTTAGTTCTCATTTGAACCAAATCCTATATATATGTGCCCATTTTATATTATGTTACAGCTTAAGAGTACGCATCAATTACTGAATGTCTAGATTATAACAACGATCAAATCTTATCCTTCCGCGGTCCGTTCAATACTCATCATAAGTATTAGTGTAACCCATCAGTTAAAGACTAGCTAAATCAAGACTACACTACAGTCTTTTCCAACATGGGTGTCACTGTCTGTCTAGACTGTGAACAATTAATTTATATTTTACAAAGAACCGATAATATGATCTTTATGTTCGACACGACGAACCATACAATCTACAATGTAAGATATTGGAGTTATAATTGCATAAATAAATAAACTGCAAATATAAATACTTTGACCAAAACAAGATTGCCAGATCAAAATGGTAATTTTATATATGAAAGCCAAACTTTTACAATATATCTAACATAATTTTTCAGGTACGCTTCCGCTATTCAATTTGATTCTCGATTCTTCAATATAGATGTTCTTGGGATAAAGTGATTTCATTCGCATAAGGTTAAATCTAATTCGATCAATTGGTATCAGGGCCATTCATATTGAAGTTTGGAAAATCAATTTTAATTTATTTTTTATTTGTATAACAGTTTATTTATGCGGCTTTCGGAACGAATTATCTGTTGTTTCGAATTGGATTTCTCCGTGAATCGTCAGTTTATACAGATTCAGCAAATTAATTCGAATCACATGTTAATGTATTTGGGATTTTTTTGTTTAAACATTCAAAAAGGCAATGAATTATTTATTTGTTCGGGTAAAGTTGCAGAGATTCCATTTAGTGTTTGTTTGCTTAGAATGATAACATTGGACTACAATAGTGCAAAGGTTATGGATTGCACTGTTTGGATTAGATTTATCATATGTTCGTTTGTTTGATTAGGTATAGGATAACATTTATCTTAAAAAAAATAAAATGATTTTTTTTCTTTTCTTTTTTTTTTTCTTTTTTTCTTCGGTACAAAAGGAGGCAATGCCTAAAATGGGTCACACTACTACGTTCCGTGGGTCGGAAACACCGAAAAATAAAATGATTTGAATCACCACAAATGGCATGTCCCGAGATGTCGACTACCTCATCCCGGGTCGTTTGTTTAGGAAACACCGAAAAATAGCAGGATTAGTTGAGATATCCTGGTTAATCCTTCCAAACAAATGAGGGCTTAGATTAATTGGTCAAGTGATTTGTGGAATATATATTTAGATTCTTTTCAATTTCATTCGCATGTTATGAATTCTTAAATTGTTGAATCCATCTTGTGATTTGTGAGAACTTGTGGGCCCAAGTCAAATTACATTTTCATTAGAATCCATCAGTTTTGAGTGTGAAGTTTTCATTGGCTGATGGACTTGAATTGTTTGATGTGGTTTCATCTCTGCTCTGCTGTGGTATTTTTTTCATCTTGGGTATAAAGAGTGATTTAGGACTCATTTAAGGTTTGATAGCCGATATTGAGATAAATATTCGGCATTTCGTGATTAATTTAAATGGATTGATTGAAACAAAATGTTGTCAAAGTGACCTCTTTTGTGTAGATTGATTCATTTATACTAAATATTATTTTATTTTTGTAATTTATGCGTGTGTTGATTAACCCAAAGGTGAACTGACACATGACCGAATTACATACATACATGTGATAATATATCTGTGACAATTATAGGGTTTTCATGTGAACAATAATTTTATCCAAAGATAGTTTTATTGTTTGACAAAAATTATTGTCAATATTTGATTATTACAACAAGAGTACCGCTTACAATTAATATTACTATCCAAAGGAGTAGTCCACTAGACTTATAAATTAGACATATTTTTCCTATATAAACGATGTGGACAACTTACAAATGAATATTCTAATATGGATTTAAACCATGTTTGGTTTAATTGATTGACTAAAGATAATAATGTGAGTACTTGGGTTTATTATTCTCATCAGGTTCTTCATCTATGACATCTACTAACTATCTTGTCCCCACTTTATTTGGAAACAACTTTAAGAACTGGAAAGAATCAATTCTGATTCATTTGGGTTGTATGGATCTAGACTTGCATTAAGGATAGACCAACTTGATTCTCTTACGGAGAACACTGCTAAGGAAAATTGTGTTTTGAGAAGTGGAAAAAGTCTAATCGCATTAGTCTTATGATCATAAAGAGAAACATTACAAAAATCTTTCGGAGAACGATATCTGATGATATCACTCAGGCTAAAGAGTTTCTTGTCGAGATTGAAAAACACTTTATTAAAAGCGATAAGAAAGAAATGAGTACTCTTTTAAAGACACTCATTACCATGAGGTATCTCGGCAAAGGCAACATAAGGTAGTACATCCTCAAGATGTCCAATATTGCTTCTAAGTTGAGGGCACTAAAGTTAGGCCTTTCGGAGGACATGCTTGTCCTATTGGTCCTACTCTCTCCTGCTACTCAATACGATCAGTTTAAGGTAAGTTACAACTGCCAAAAGGAGAAATGGACTCTTAATGAGCTTATTTCTCACTGTGTTGAGGAAGAAGAAAGAATGAAGTATAATAGAGCTGAGGAGGTACATATAATTGGTAACTCGAAAGATGATGGTGCTTTAAAAGAAAGTATAAGGCCGTTAAGGTTGAGACTGCTAAGGGTCCAACTCCAAAGGGTAAACCGTAGGAGATTTCATGCTTTTTTTGGAAGAAATCTGGACATCTAAAGAAAGTTTGTGCTAAGTACTCCACTTGCGCGTGAAGAAAGGTACATTCTTTAATTTGATTTGTTCTGAAGTTAATTTAGCTTCAGTACCTCGAAACACTTGGTGGTTAGACTGGTTCAACTGCTAACATCATTGTTTCGATGCAGGGTTG